GACCAGCTGGGTAGGCGGAGTTCAGTGGTCATGTGACTGGGTGGGTGTGACCAACTCAACATCACTCACATCGATAGGTGCTTCGCCTTAGCTGTTACAATGTAATAAGGGTTAACTAGAGAGGCAGTTTCTGTAAGCAGGGCAATAAAGATTAGGCTAGAAACAACACTAGAATGTTTCTTCCTGCCTTCTCTACAGGATTAGCCCTGTAAAGTAGAAAAAAACAAAAGATTTCTTCCAACAACTGGTTCTCTGAACTGCTTAGGAAGTTAACAACCGGTTCTCTAAACTACTCAAAATTTCCACTACCACTCCAAAACCTACCAGAACTTGCTAGATTTCCCACCTGCCACTGGGTATCCTGAGATGTACCCTTTCTGGGAAAGCTGGAAACTACAATCCCCAAGTCTAGTGGTGGGATTCAGCCAGTCCACACCTATTCGGGAGAACCGGTTATTAACTTTCTAAGCAGTTCGGAGAACCGGTTGTTGGAAAAAATCTCTTTTTGTTTCCCCCCCACTTTACAGGGCTAATCCTGTAAGGAAGGCAGGAAGGAAACATTCTGGTGTTGTTTCTAGCCTAATCTTTATTGCCCTGCTTACAGAAACTGCCTCTCTAGTTAACCCTTATTACATTGTAACAGCTAAGGCGAAGCACCCATCAACGTGAGTGATGTTGAGTTGGCCATGCCCACCTTGTAACATGACCACCAAGCCCCACCTACTCTGCTGGTCATTAGGGCAGAGAACCGGTTGTTAAATTATTTGAAACCCACCACTGACTCATAGGATCATCTTTTGCGACCTTTTGACAAACAAAGTTAATGCGGAAGCCAGATTCACTTAACGACTGTTACTAACTGAACAATGCAGTGATTCACTTAATAAACTGTGGCAAGGAGTGTTGTCAAATGGGGCAAAACTCAATAATTGCCTTGCTTAGCAACATACATTTTGGGCTCAACTGTGATCATAAGTTGAGGACTACCTGTAGCAGAAATAACAGGAGAGCAAAGGAAACAATTATGTGAGTTTAAAAAAAAAACATTCATAGGTAAACAGCACCCAATCTTTGAAGTTATCCAAGATTTACAGCTGTACTTTTACAGCCATTTGCCTCATGCAGAGTGCTTGTTTTCAAGAGCGTATCAGTGAATGTACAGTATTAAAAATTCATGTCCCCCTTTATTTGCTGCGGTGCTATATTTGAAACAAAGATATCTTTTAATTTACCCCGGTTCTTCATATTAGTTGCTGTTCACACATGAAGTCATATCTTATTGCCAGTGTTTTTATTTCTTACTTCTATATCAATTTTTTTTTGCAGTTGTTTTCTTCCCAATTTGGAATAAACCCATTAAATCCATTATAGATGCAATCATATTTTTATTTGCATGAAACTGCACGGTAACAACATCTTTTCTGCTACTACAATATAGACAATACGTTCAAATTTTCTCTTCAGACAAAGCATATTTGAGTGTCTCAGCATTAACAATTCTTGGTCTTGAAACTTGTATGAGGTCAGAGGTGGTTGTTTGTGGAAATTGATAGTGTCCAGATGCTGGTGTGCGCGGTTTCTCTAGAGTTTTTAATCTTCCCATTACATGTGTATTTTGGGGGATTAAAAAGAGAGAATCCCTCGGACGAAACTTCGCTTTGTATACTTTAACACCAGTACCTCGAAATTTTTCTAGAAAACAAAAACACCACTTTTACTACTATCAGTATTATCTGCAGAATATTTCAGACTGTTCAGCCAAATGATGTTGCAAGTAGGAGTAGGAGTACTTGTGGGCTGGATCCTTACTCCATCTGGTTCATTTGAACAGCTAGAAGTGGAATAAGTAGCTGCATTGGAGAATGGTTTCTGCCACCTTGAAAATGATGGTGATGTGTGCCCTGGTCAGGCCACCTCTTATCCAGTCACGCTACACAATTACTGCCTGGCTTCCAAACTTCCCTTTTTGGGGAGGGGAAGTCTGGAGAAGGTGGTTGGGGAAGCAGATTGTCAGACCCAGATATGGAATAGAAACAGTATTGGTCACTTTTATAGAAGGAACCTGGATATAGGAGTGGACGGCTCCTGATCCTTTTAGATCAGACTTGGCAACTTAAAAGATGTTTGGGCTGCAACACACAGCCCAATTCCCCAGCCAGCATGCCATGGCTTCCAAGTATGCATTTTAAAGCTGCTTTAAATCAGCCACCAAGCTCATGAGTCTTCAAGAACAACAGTTTGAATTATAAGAAATTTTTGATGGAAAGCAACTTTAGAAGGGTCTACGGACATCACAAGTTTTATTAGATAATGTATTTTGTTTTACATATGCCTAGCCCATTCCGCACAAATCTATCTGGATTAGGCTGCATATTTAATCTTTCATATATGTGTGGTTATCAAATGCTTTCATTGTAAACATGTTGTGCATTGACAATAAAGGTTTGATTTAATTTGATTTCTTGATTTGTATACTGCATTATATCTATTAGATAGGCATAAATTACCTCTTATGTGTACAGGGACAGCAGGTGGTCCTCCATTTAACTCCAGGCTGAAAATAAAAACTTTTAAGTTAGGATGCAGATAATTTACTCTCGGTAAAGTACTTACACTAAAGATCTGCAACCATTCTTAAATAATGCAGTTTGAGAATTCTATTAACCATTTTTTCCTCCTGTTTAACAATTAAACCTAATATAACCATTCTATGTTTCTAAACTGGTATATGTTTACTTTCATCGAACCTCTCCATTATCTATAAATTAATTCAGCTGCTAGTGATGCTTCAATAAAAATGCGGGCTTTAGGACCCTTGTCTGCTTTATTAGTTTACTATTCTTCTTCTTAAATTTGACAATGATTTACATGATAGCAAGTTTATGAATCCATGGTTGATGAATGTTAAACATTCATAGTATTTATAGAAATATAGAATGGTTA